GAATGTGCGTGGATGTTGTGCAAATGATAAGAAAGAGTTGATTGTGGATGTCGTTATGAATGAGAAGAAACTGGATGTCCTGGCTTTAGTTGAAACAAAGCGAAGGGGGGGGGAGAGTTTCAATGGAGAGGAAAAAAATGGGTTTGGGTCAGGGGTTTCAAATAATTAGAGCTAAAGAAGGATCAATAATTTTTGAGAAAAGTTTGGCGGGAAAAAGGGGGATAAAAAGTATAAATTCAAGGATTTTTGGAGAAAAAATAAAGATTGGATGGAAAAGGGGTTATAGTAAGCGGTATGCCCGGAAAAGAAGAATTAGAGGAAGGAGAAGACTGGGGGAAATGTGAGTAAATCGTGGGATTTTTAAATCAATGTGAAGTAAGGGTGGGGGGGATTTCATGAAAAAGTGGGTAAAATGTTTTGGAGGGTGTGGGTAAAATTTGGGGTGAGGGGTTTAAAAGGGGGTTTTGGGTATGTGTGTTTTTTGGGTTGTATTCATTTTTATGGAGAAAATTTCAAGGTTTTGTAGCAGAAAGGTAGTTTGTTGTTTGTTTGGGATAAAGGTTGATGGGTGGCTCCAGGTGTCTGTTTATGGGGGGGGAATTTGTTAGGAAAATTTTTTTGTTGTGGGTTTTTTGAGAAAAGGTGTGGGGGGAAAGGTGGAAAAATAAGAGGGAGGTAAAGTGAAAATTTAAAGGAGGAAGCGGGCGGATATAAGGACTTTGGGCAGAAAGGGGGGGGCTAGTGAAAAAGAGAGTAGTGGGGGTTTTGAGGGGGTTGGAATATTTTTTTAAAAAGCAGTATTGAACTGGGGCAGAATTTGGGTTTAGAGGGTGGGGGCGGGGGAAAAAAGGAGGGGTTGGGGGAATGTGAAGTAAAGGGTGGATAAAAAAGAAAAAAGGTAGCTTACGAAGGGGTTTTTTTCAAAGCAGAAGGTTATAAAAGACAGGTAATGGAGAGAAAAAAGGGAAGAGAGTGGGTGAGAGAGTGCAAAAGGGAGCAGAGGAGTTGGGGGAGGGACTGTCAAAAAAATTTTAATGAAAAAAAAGAAAAATTTTGGGGTGAGTTAAACAAATTAAGAAAGCCCAGGGGAAAGTATGGTTTTTTCAGTTAAAAAAAAGTGGGGATTTTAATGGGGGGAAGGGGGGGTATTAGGTAAGGGGGAAATATTTTGAGGCTTTTAAATGTTAAGGAAAAAGGGAGGGGGTAATTTTATCACGGCCAGGGGGGTTTTAACCCTCTTTTTGGAGTGAAAAAACAGAATGTAAGTGTGGTGGAGGTACGTGACATTACGTAGAATGAAAGGGGGGGGAAAAACAGCTGGGAAATGAGGACATGACAGAAAAGTTAAAAGCGGGGTGGATAAGTGTTGAGTGGTTGGTACTTTTTTTTTTAAAAAATGTAAAAAAAGAGGGGAAGGTACCTGGATTTGGGGGAGAGCATGTATAGTCCCTTTATATAAAGGGAAAGGGGACAAAAGAATTGTAAAAATTATAAGGAAAAAGTTTACTTGGGGGAAACCCCGGAAAAAAAGGGTAGGGGGATAATTTTAAAAAAATAAGGTAAACAAATGTAGAAATTCACGGGCCCAAAGGGCTTCAAGTTTGGAGGGGGATGTGTAGATCAATGTTTACATGAAGCTTTTTGTGAACAGTATTTAGATAAAGGTAGGAATTTTTTTTGCATTTATGGGGGTTTTTGAAAAGGATATATAGATGGATAGAGGAGGGAAGTGCGTGTTTTCAAGTAATGGAAAAAGGTGTAAGTTTACTAATGTCAAAAAAGTTTTATGAGGAAAAGGGGGCTCAGGTTGGGTGGAGAAAAGGGGAAATACTTCCCTAAAAGTAGGGCTTAGACAGGGGTTGTAATGTCCCCTGGTTGTTTAAAATATTTTAGATGGGGAAAATAAACTGGGGGGGAAGGGGGGGGTTTTTAAAAGGGGGTCTTCCCCCCAAAAAGGGGTCACGCCCTTTTGCATATCTGGGGGGGACAAAGAAAAATTTGGGGTTTTTTTATTTGAAAATTGAAAAAAGGGTTGGGACTAAAAAATTTATACAAAATTTTAAAAAAAAATTTTCAATTTAAAATAAAATAATTTTTAAACTTTTAAAATTTCCTAATAAATATTTTTCTAAAAATTTAAAAAAAGGTTATGGTCTTAATAATTTCAAAAAACTTTCTTTGGAGGCAAAGAAGGGAATGGATGGGAAATTGTGTACCAAAACCCCTTTAAGGGGAAGTTTGGGGGGTAATGCAACCCCCTGGGGCGTTTGGGGCAGTGAGATGTCCTTCTAAGGAAAGTGTGGTTAAATATTTGAGAATTCGGGGGAGTGTGGGAAAAATTTGGAGAAAGGTGTGGAGTTATAAAAATTACCAGAGGGCAGAAGAGGGTTGTTGGGGTGGTTTGTCTTTTAGAGAAATGGATAAAAAGTAGAATGACAGGGAAAAAGCAAAAAAATCTATAGGGGAAGGAAAAGGGGGGTGGGGGGTCGCCTCAAAAGGGTTTGGGAAAAGGGGGGGTTAAAGGGGTTTTTGTGGGTGAGGGGTTGGATTTCCCAGCAACGTCATGACTTTTTTTGTTTGGAGTGAATGGAGACAAATGAATTTGGGGACCTGAGATCTGTTGGAGTGGGGCAGGGAAATATTTAGTAAAGGGGATTCGGGGGAAACCGGTTATTTCATATAGTCGGACTTGAGCCCCTGGAAAGGGGAAGAAAATCCCGCCTTTAAAGGGGGTTTGGGTTTTGGCAGTTTGGGGGATAGTTGTGTATTCTATGTTACTCCTAAACTGTTGTATTCTGAGCACCTCTGCAAAAGCGTAAAAATGTTTGTGTGGGGGTGAAAGTGTTGAATGTGATAAAAGTTTTTTTTTTTTTTTGGGATTTTCTTTTTTTTTTTTTTGGTACCCTGCCTCGGTTTGAGAACGCCGATTGTTAAAAAAAAAAAAAAAAAAAACCTATGAAGCTAAAACGCATTTGTGCGGGATTATATTTCTCCCCGTTATTTTTGGCTTCCTCTTTAACCGAAAAACGGCCCCAAATGTATATTACTTTTTTTCAACATTTGAAAGTATGTAAAAAAAGTAATTTCTTTTTGTTTTTCTACTTTTAAAAAATGCGTAAAAAAACTTTGATCTCTTTTTTTTTTTGTTATTTTGAAAAATGTAAAAAAAATTTATCTTTTTTTTTGTGCACTCACATGTGAACGAGTCTGCTTGGGTTAAGTGAAAATTTGGGGAAAAAAAAAAAGTATGAAAATTGAGTGGCAAATACACCTAACCAGCTCCCATATTTCGGTTGCTGGTGTCACATTGAAAGACCTCCTGAACTTACCACAGAGTTTCGATCATCTTGTTCGATCGGACTTCCAACTATCCCCTCACCTATCCCTTTACACTTTTTTCCCAACAAGACAAGTCTCATAATGTGCATTTACACTTCTAGAACTGGGGGGTCAATATTTTCCCCGCTGCTGATCTTTTGGCAGCTGGCCTGATGGATTCATATTCGATGCTTCGTTTTACATCATCACCCTTTCCGTCCTCTTGCATACTTTTAATCTTTTTGGTCAAAAGGGAGTTCTTCCAAAGCTGTGGAAAACGACCTTTGTTCCCTTTTTGTAAAGGGCCAGATGCCTCCATATCGCCCATTTCTCTTAATGCATTTTGTAAGTTTGGAACAACGTAATTAGACGCGATGTAGTATTTAGACCAAGTAGCTCTTCACTAATCAATTTGGCTTTTGTAAGGGTACCCATACTGACCCCTTATTGCACTTGATGCCTAGTTATAGTGCTTTTTATAGTAAAACCCCTCAATTTCAGTCTATTTTGATCGGAAAGGGGGTAGACACTACTTGGATATACAGTGGAAACCTTGTTTTTTTTATTTTTTTTAAAAAGTCGGGGGCCGCTCCCACCCAAAACAGGGGGACCCAAAAAGAAAGAAAATCCCCAAAAAGAAAATACTTTCATCATTCAACACTTTCACCTCACTCACACATAGTCACTGTTTTTGCAGAGGTGCTCGGAAATACAACAGTTTAGAAGCATATACGTACGTATAAAGATACACAACATATCCCTCCAAACTGCCAATATCCCAAACCCCTCCTTTAAAGTGCAGGCATTGTACTTCCCATTTCCAGGACTCAAGTCCGGCTATATAAAAATAACTGGTTTCCATTTACTCCTAACACGCTCATGCACGCTTGCTGGAAGTCCAAGCCCCTCGCCCACAAAACCTCCTTCACCCCCTCCCTCCAATCTTTTCAAGGATGACCCCTACCCGGCCTTCCTTCCCCTACAGATTTATACGCTCTCCATGTCATTCTACTTTGATCCATTTTCTCTAAATGACCAAACCACCTCAACAACCCCTCATCAGTCCTCTGACTAATACTTTTATTAACTCCACACCTTCTCCTAATTTCCACACTCCGAATTTTCTGCATAATATTTACACCACACATTGCCTTTAGACAGGACATCACTGCCTTCAACCGTCTCCTCGCTGCAGCATTTACAACCCAAGCTTCACACCCATATAAGAGTGTTGGTACCACTATACTTTCATAGATTCCCTTATTTGCCTCCATAGATAACTTTTTTTTGTCTCCACATATACCTCAATGCACCACTCACCTTTTTTCCTTCATAAATCAATCCGCTGACACGTTAACTCCCAAATATCTAAAAACGTTCACTTCCATACCCCTCCTCTCCAATTTGATATCCAATTTTTCTTTATCTAAATCATTTGATACCCTCATCACCTTACTCTTTTCTATGTTCACTTTCAACTTTCTACCTTTACACACACTCCCAAACTTGTCCACTAACCTTTGCAATTTCTCTTTAGAATCTCCCATAAGCACAGTATCAGCAAAAAGCAACTGTGTCAATTCCCATTTTGTATTTGATTCCCCATAATTTAATCCCACCCCTCTCCCGAACACCCTAGCATTTACTTCTTTTACAACCCCCTCTATAAATTTTATTAAACAACCATGGTGACATTACACATCCCTGTCTAAGACCTACTTTTACCGGGAAGTATTCTCCCTCTCTTCTACACACCCTAACCTGAGCCTCACTATCCTCATAAAAGCTCTTTACAGCATTTAGTAACTTACCACCTATTCCATATACTTGCAACATCTGCCACATTGCTCCTCTATCCACTCTATCATATGCCTTTTCTAAATCCATAAATGCAATAAAAACCTCCCTACCTTTATCTAAATACTGTTCACGTATATGCTTCAATGTAAACACTTGATCTACACATCCCCTACCCACTCTAAAACCTCCTTGCTCATCCGCAATCCTACATTCTGTCTTGCCTCTAATAGTTTCAATTATAACCCTACCGTACACTTTTCCTGGTATACTCAGTAAACTTATTCCTCTATAATTTTTACCATCTCTTTTGTCCCCCTTCCCTTTATATAAAGGGACTATACATGCTCTCTGCCAATCCCTAGGTACCTTCCCCTCTTTCATACATTTTTTATTTTTTATTAACACACTGGCCGATTCCCACCAAGGCAAGGTGGCCCGAAAAAGAAAAACTTTCACCATCATTCACTCCATTACTGTCTTGCCAGAAGGGTGTTTTACACCACAGTTTTTAAACTGCAACATTAACACCCCTCCTTCAGAGTGCAGGCACTGTACTTCCCATCTCCAGGACTCAAGTCCTGGAGTCATACATTTATTAAACAAAAATACCAACCACTCCAACCCTAAAAGATGGTATACCTCCCTGGCCAGTGCATGAAATTACCGCCTCCCTTTCTTCGTCGACATTTAAAAGTTCCTCAAAATATTCTCGCCATCTCCCTATCTACTAACTCCCCTACTCTGTTTTTAACTGACAAATCCATTTGTTCCCTAGGCTTTCTTAACTTGTTTAACTCACTCCAAAATTTTTTTCTTATTTTCATTAAAATTTCTTGACAGTGCCTCTCCCACTATCATCTGCTCTCCTTTTGCACTCTCTCACCACTCTCTTCACCTTTCTTTTACTCTCCATATACTTTACTCTTCTTATAACACTTCTGCTTTGTAAAAACCTCTCATAAGCTATCTTCTTCTCTTTTATCACAACCTTTATTTCATCATTCCACCAATCACTCCTCTTTCCTCTTGCACCCACCCTCCTATAACCACAAACTTCTGCCCCACATTCTAATACTGCATTTTTTAAATTATTCCAACCCTCTTCAACCCCCCCACTACTCATATTTGCACCAGTCCACCTTTCTGCCAATAGTTGCTTATATCTCACCCAACCACTCTAACACTACATCCCCTCACCCTGCTTTTAACATTTCTGTCATGTTCCCGTCAGTTCCAGCTGCTTTATCCCCTTTCATTCTACGTAATGCCTCACGCACCTCCCCCACACTCACATACTGCTCTTCTTCACTCCCTTTCTTCGTCGACATATAAAAGTTCCTTGGTTGTCAAATTTAATTCGCTCCAGATATCGATTCGACACCCAAAATGGACGACAACCGAAGCAATTTTTCCCATAAAGAATAATGTAAATAGAATTAATCCATTCCAGACCCCAACTGACAATATAATAAATTATTACAAATGTACTAACTACTACATAAAACTGTAAAAATGAATACTAAAAGAAACTTGAACTGAAATACTGAACAGTAAATGAAAATTTAACTGCCTCTTATTTGTCAGAGGAGAACTAATGGCATACTGGAAGCAGGAGGTGGAGGAGAGGAGGGGGTATATTACTGCTTGGAAGGAGAGTCTTCTTCTATTATGTCAGACAACTGTCCTTCTGATGTTGTTTCTCTTCGTTGTCTCTTTTCACCACTAACACCTTGTTCTGGCTCACTGGTTCTCACTAAAAATCTGTCCAGTGAGGTTTGTTTCAAGCTCTCTGTTGTACATTTCTAGTTTAGATGTTAGTACACCTGACATCATCATCACACCTTCAGATATATCCTTTTAATGATTTAACATCTGTTGGAAAAAATTGATCAGTATGTATGTTATCACATGCTACCAATGGAGGACAGTTAAGAGTCACAAAATATTGATAGAGAAGCTATCGAAGATTCAAATTAGATGTAAAGTCATCCTATGTGATGTCTTTAACAGTTCCATGCTAACCTGACCTTGCATTCCCATTCCCCCAGGCACTGTATGACCCTTAAGAGTTAAGTGTTTCCTCTAAATATAATAATTCAGGAAATGTATCATTCAATAATTAATAGCATAATTATAACTAAGTAGCTTCAATAAAGAGATTTGAATTTCTACATTGCTGCTGTCTGCATTCTGAAGTGCATTTGGTATTTTTCCACTCGATTATGAAAAAAAAAAAATCTCACTGGGACAGAAATCGATGATCATTTTGATGGAGAAAACAGAGAGAAATCATAAGTTCTAAATATTATTAGAGGATAAGGATAGTGTACAATGGGATAATGGTCTAACCATTTCTAAGGAAATAATAAAGAGCAGGCTATGTACTGTCAGCACTCTGATCATTATGAATACCTGCATACATCTGTCCTGAATTATTAGTTGACATCACAGGTTCATGCCATTATTGTAAGAATCATTTGTAAGATTATATATCTCATACAAGATTTTCTGAAATAATAATAATACTTGTATTATTGTCAATTATCAATACAAACATTTATTATACTCACAAAACTCATCACTGGACTACTGAAGTTTCTCCTTGCCTTCCCTGCGAGTAAGGAAGCAGAGGGTATAGCAAAGACTACAGGTAAGGCAGCAGAGAGCCAGCATTACCAGAAGAAGAAAGACAGCCACATCAAGAGCAAAGTATTGCAAGAAGGAAAGGTGAGCACCAGGCATCTTGAGGTGGGTGAGGCGACCATGACGGTGTACTCTTTCAATCCACCTAATTCCTCTCTCCACCCCAGACTCTCCCTCCTCTTGCCACAGAGCAGAAAACCTTGCTGCAGTTTCTTGGTACCTGGAGGATGAAACAACTCATGAGTAATTGCAACTGCCAGGAAATGTCCTGTGAGGACCAATGTCTACCCTACTTTCATGTGTCAGGCACAACTTGCCTCGATCCCTCATCCTCCCCAATAATGACACCATGAGACTAGTGCCAGGTTTTTTTCCTGGTGAATAAACAACAAAACATTCTTGGGGTTAATTAAACTAGTGATTATTAACCATCAGAATGTGAGTATCCTGTATGTTTTGCTAAGCTCAACATAATGGATATTTCAGTATGCAAACTTTGTTTTGTTAGTCTAACAGCTTTGATGTACTCAAACTGCAAGAGAACACTGAGAAATTGCAAGAATACTGAGGAATATGAAAAAAGAGGTTATTTAAAATATAATGTATTACTATCTGAAAACTTTTATAACATATGGTAGTGTGAGAAATGTAAGAACTTCTACCAATAACCTCAGCAAGGAATCCATTGTTGAGGATATATATACCACATGTATATATAATATAGGTAGTAGGTTGGTAGACAGCAACCGCCCAGGGAGGTAGTACCCTCCTGCCGAGTGAGTGTAAAACGAAAGCCTGTAATTGTTTTACATGATGGTAGGATTGCTGGTGTCTTTTGTCTGTCTCATAAACATGCAAGATTTCAGGTATGTCTTGCTACTTCTACTTACACTTAGGTCACACTACACATACATGTACAAGCGTATATATACACACCCCTCTGGGTTTTCTTCTATTTTCTTTCTAGTTCTTGTTCTTGTTTATTTCCTCTTATCTCCATGGGGAAGTGGAACAGTATTCTTCCTCCGTAAGCCATGCGTGTCATAAGAGGCGACTGAAATGCCGGGAGCAAGGGGCTAGTAACCCCTTCTCCTGTATATATTACTAAATTTGAAAGGAGAAACTTACATTTTTCCTTTTATGTCACCCCACCTCGGTGGGATTCGGCTGGTACGTTGAAAGAAGAAGAATGTATATATAAACACTAAGTACACGGCACCAGAATGATGACCCACAACTCTAAAGAATACAAAAAGTGTTAGAGGAAGCCTGTTATTTTCCATGTGGCTTGTCCCTAAACAAATAAAGCTGAACTACTGAGGATATAAAAAGTTAAATATCTCAGTGCTGCTTTAAAGGATTAGAGGAGACATAATCATAAAAAATACTCCAGGATATCTACAGACTCCAAGAAGTGTAATTACTATTTGTGATTATGAGTTATGTTTCTAGTATCACATCTTCAGTAATTAGTTTATCATTTACATAATCAACTTGAAATGCTGTATCCTTTTATTACATCCCCATTCAGCACATTCAATTTTTCCATCTCTGAAAAAATCTCAAGTACCCTTTCAGTTCAGTTCTTTTGCAATATACAACTGTGGTCTTTTTATTTATTTTTGATCTTTTTAAATAAAAGAGCCTGATCCATTCATATGTATCCTTTTCTACCGTTACATATGATTACCACAATTTCTTTGTTCCTCCTATCAAATAACGATGATTCCCAGTACAGTACTGCACTTTTCGTATGTAGGGAACCACAGGCATCTGGAGGGAGGATGAAAGCTACTGACCTGGTATTGTTAAGTACGGCTATAATGGTGGTGTATGCAAGGTGTTCTGTGATGGCATTTTTATCTATCATGAGCCCTAGGCCGCGATCCACCACCCTGCGAGCATTGTCACCCTGGTCAGCAAAGATTGGGAAGGCAACAATGGGCACACCATGGTACACTGCCTCGTTGACGCCGTTTTGTCCACAGTGGGTCACGAACAGCACAGTGTTGGGGTGAGCTGTGTCAGAAGAGGCTCAGTATGTTGAAACAAGCTATACAACTACACAGCATTAATTTATTTTTTAAAACCTTTGTATAAATAAGCATAATCATTACCCCCAACAAGGTTGGTTACCTAGAGTGCTTCAATATTTTGCTTCTCAGTCCTCCATTTTTATGAGATAACCTCAGAATGCCTTTCCAAATTGACCTCAAACTTAACAACTTGTACATTTTAGTAAAATGAAGGTTTAATTTGGTGGGGGGCTTCATATTTGTCAATTTTGAGAGAGGATAATTTTCAGCAGTTTGAACAATAATGAACAGGCATAGCTACAACAAACTTGTTATTCTTCTATTCATCTTCTGACCCCTTATGTTCTGTGTACTCTTAAATCAAAAGCAGTATACAAAACTTGCAAATTTCCTTCAAATTTAGCATGTGACCTCCATGAGAACATCCAAATATCCAATCAAAATTACGTTAAGAAGATGCTATAGTACTTACCAATGCCCATGCCGGGGACTACCTAGATGGGAATTTCCCAAATTCCTTCTATCTTGCACCAACTGAGCCCATGGAAGTCACTGAGATTATGAAGTCACTTAAAAATAACTCAGGGAATCTGTCTCATGTCCCACCATTACTGTACAAGCGAGCGGCCCATGTCCTTTCACATGCTATTTCATTACTTTTTAACAAGTCACTAGAAACTAGCACCTTCCCGAAACTACTCAAGATGGCAAGGGTTACACCAATACATAAAGGTGGTGACCCTACAGACTTAAACAACTATAGGCCAATATCAAACTTACCATTGCTATCCAAAATCTTTGAGAAACTTGTGCACAGGAGACTATATTCATTTATAACGACACAAAACATACTCAACCCCTGCCAATTTGGATTCAGGAAAAATAAAAGCACTAATGATGCAATCATAAGAATGCTAGATCTGCTTTACACAGCATTGGAAAATAAGGAATATCACTAGGAATTTTTATTGACCTAAGAAAAGCTTTTGACACAGTAGACTATGATATCCTACTCCACAAACTTGACCATTACGGTATAAGAGGCCATGCGCTTGCTTATTTCAAATCTTACCTTACTAATAGGTATCAGTATGTCACCATTAAAGACACAGCATCAACAACACGGCCACTTGATACTGGAGTTCCGCAGGGAAGTGTCCTTGGTCCCCTGCTCTTCCTCATATACATCAATGATCTTCCAAACGTATCCCAACACCTGAAACCCATTCTCTTTGCTGACGACATGACTTATGTCATCTCTCACCCTAATCTTGCCACCCGCAACACCATTGTTAACGAGGAGCTGATCAAAATATCGACTTGGATGACAGCCAATAAACTTATGCTTAACACTGACAAAACCTACTATATTATGTTTGGTAGCAGGGCAGGAGATGCACAAATTAACATTAAGATCGACAACACTCTAATTACCAGACATAATGAGGGCAAATTCCTAGGCCTATACCTTGACAACAACCTGAATTTCAGCACCCATATCCAACACATAACCAAAAAAGTATCCAAAACGGTTGGGATCCTCTCCAAGATACGATACTACTTGCCGCAAAATGCCCTTCTCACACTATACCACTCACTTATTTATCCATACCTCACCTATGCTATTTGTGCTTGGGGATCAACTGCAGCAACACACCTAAAGCCAATAATAACCCAACAAAAAGCCGCAGTAAGAATAATCACTAAATCCCATCCCTGGCAACACACCCCCCCCACTCTTCATAGATCTAAACTTACTCCCTGTTCAGTACATCCACACTTACTACTGTGCAATCTACATCTACAGGACCTTAAACTCCAATATCAACCTTGACCTAAAACGCTTTCTTGATAGTTGTGACAGAACCCACAGGCATAACACCAGACACAAACATCTCTACGACATTCCCCGTGTCCGACTAAACCTTTACAAAAATTCAATGTGTGTCAAAGGCCCTAAAATCTGGAACACCCTACCTGAGAACTCTAGAACTGCAGACACATTTATCACCTTCAAAACTACCATTAGAAAACATCTTATCTCCCTGATACACCCTGTCAACTAACTACATGAATACCACCTGGTGGTTCACACTTTCACTCACCCATTTGACCATAAACAGAAATATTAATCTCAATCTTAAAATAATGAATCCTGTGATACTCCAATACTGAAACTATGTACTGTGCCAAAACAAAAGCATTCACATTGCTAAACTCACAAACTAGTATTTAGTCACTTAGCCATAATACCAACTTACCTCATAATTTGTAATATTTTAAAATTAAGATTTAAACTAAGTCTGCCCGAAATGCCTAGCCATGCTAGGTGTTCTAGTGGTACACTCTGTAATCATTATTTTACTACATGTAAACCACACAATAACCAAATTCTGTAAACTCAGCATTGTAATCCTTATAGAGAATAAACTTTGAATTTGAATTTGAATTTAAAAATATCTTAATTTCTGATAGGTTATTAGTTTTTTGCTAATCTCTCAAAATTGTCTTACAGATTACCAGTGATTTCTGCATTGATTTTTATTTCACTGACCACTCAAAGTGTAAAGACTAATACATTATAACAATTATTAAATTTTGAAGTGTATTCTAAATTTTTTTGATTACCAGATTTTGATCTGTATCTCTTAATATTTCATAAAATATAAAAACTTTCTTGGTGGGAGCAAGGGGCTTGTAACCCATTCTCTTGTATCCATTACTAAATTTAAAAAGAGAAACTTTCATTTTAGCTTTTAGGTTACCTTGCCTTGGTGGGATATGGCCGGTTTGTTGAGAAATAAATAAATAAATAAAAACTTTCTGCATATGCAAAAGCATTGGATACATACTGTACAAATTTTGAATGTTATGCTTGACAGTGTACTTCCATTGCAGACACTGCAAGGCTCCAGGCGGACATCAACCAAATCTTTCAGTGGGCTGCAGAAAACAATATGAAGTTCAACGATGAGAAATTTCAATTACTCAGATATGGTAAACACAAGGAAATTAAATCTTCATCAGAGTACAAAACAAATTCTGGCCACAAAATAGAGCGAAACACCAACGTCAAAGACCTGGGAGTGATCATGTCGGAGGATCTCACCTTCAAGGACCATAACATTGTATCAATCGCATCTGCTAGAAAAATGACAGGATGAATAATGAGAACCTTCAAAACTAGGGAGGCCAAGCCTATGATGACACTCTTCAGGTCACTTGTTCTATCTAGGCTGGAATATTGCTGCACACTAACAGCACCTTTCAAGGCAGGTGAAATTGCTGACCTAGAAAATGTACAGAGAACCTTCATGGCGCGCATAACGGAGATAAAACACCTCAATTACTGGGAGCACTTGAGGTTCCTAAACCTGTATTCCCTGGAATGCAGGCGGGAGAGATACATGATTATATACACCTGGAAAATCCTAGAGGGACTAGTACCAAACTTGCACACGAAAATCACTCACTACGAAAGCAAAAGACTTGGCAGACGATGCAACATCCCCCCAATGAAAAGCAGGGGTGTCACTAGCACGTTAAGAGACCATACAATAAGTGTCAGGGGCCCGAGACTGTTCAACTGCCTCCCAGCATACATAAGGGGGATTACCAACAGACCCCTGGCAGTCTTCAAGCTGGCACTGGACAAGCACCTAAAGTCGGTTCCTGACCAGCCGGGCTGTGGCTCGTACGTTGGTTTGCGTGCAGCCAGCAGTAACAGCCTGGTTGATCAGGCTCTGATCCACCAGGAGGCCTGGTCACAGACCGGGCCGTGGGGGCGTTGACCCCCGGAACTCTCTCCAGGTAAACTCCAGGTATACCTGGAGAGGATTTTGGGAGTTAAAGCCCCTGTAGCCTGGTCTGAGACCAGGCCTCATGGTGGATCAGGGTCTGATCAACCAGGCTGTTACTGCTGGCCGCATGCAAACTGACGTACAAACCACAGCCCGCTGGTCAGGTACTGACTTTAGGTGCCTGCCCATTGCCTTCTTGAAGACAGCCAGGGGTCTATTAGTAATCCCCCTTATGTATGCTGGGAGGCAGTTGAACAGTCTTGGGCCCCTGACACTTATTGTGTTGTCTCTCAGTGTATTTGTGGAACCCCTGCTTTTCATTATGGGGAATGCTGCATCTCTTGCTGAGTTTTTGCTTTCATAGGGAGTGATTTCCATGTGCAAGATTGATACTAATCCCTCTAGGATTTTCCAAGTGTATATTATCATGTATCTCTCTTGCCTGCATTCCAGGGAATACAAATCAAGGGACTTCAACCATTCTCAGTAATTTAGGTGCTTTATCATACTTATGTGTGCCATAAAAGTTCTTTGTACACTCTCCAGGTCAGCAATTTTGCCTGCCTTGAAGGGGGCAGTTAGTGTACAACAGTATTCCAGCCTAGAGAGAACAAGCAATTTGAAGGGAATCACCATGGGTTTGGAGTCCCTAGTTTTGAAGGTTCTCATTATCCATCCTATCATTTTTCTAGCATATGCAGTAGATACATTGTTGTGGTCTTTGAAGGTGACATCCTTAGACATTATCACTCCCAGGTCTTTCATATTACTTTTTTGTTCTATTGCATGGTTAGAATTTACTGTATACCCTGATACAGTTTTGATTTCCTCAAGTTTTACATATCTAAGTAGTTGAAACTTCTCTTCATTGAACTTCATATTGTTGTGAGACTTTTAAAATATGCTGCTAACTTTTTTTTTTTTTTAATTTTTATCTTTTTTGTTAATAAGCCAGAAAGTTGACTCAGCTTTTATAGTACAGTAGTAATTACACTTGCCCCTCATATTTAGGACTGGCTTGTCATAGGTTCAAACCGTATCCATACTGAAAGCTGAAAAGATAGGAAGTTAAAAAGAGATCCTCAACCCCGTATACCAATATATCACTTGAAAAAAGCATTAACAGGATTCTTTCACAGAAGTTATTTCCCTGTATTTATTTATTATTAATTTGGACATGATACATAGATGTACAAAGAAATACAGTGGTTAAGTGTAACATGCCAAAAGTCCCTAGTATGCAGAGCATTATGGGCAGGCTTAAAATTAACTTAAGATTAGCTAAGCAATGATATATTCAGTGGTAAAAATTATAGTAAACAAATAACAATTCAGCACAAATGAGTATTTCAAAGACAGGTCATATGGTCATTTGCTGAGTTGCTGTGTATTCATTAGAATGGAGTATTCTATTAGGTAATGTAATTAGAAAAACAAAGTTTGATAGGGTCACAGGTTATACAGTTATTCAGTATTTATTTAGTTGTGGGCGAGTAAGTGATTTTTAAGAAGAGACTTGAATTTATAAACAGACAGTGTTTCTTTTATATTCACAGGTATTGTTTCCTATTATCTTCTTTAGTGAAAAGGAAAGCATGCCTTAAGAAGTGTCAGTGTGTGATAATAATACAGTACATAATGCAAAAAATAATATGAACTGCAAGTGTGAGATGTGCAGGAATTGTACAGCTGAAGGCGGGTATTCAGGAGTAAGTTGTATGGGTGTGAGTAAGTTGTAGGGGTATAGGAGCAAGTTGCAGGGGTGTGGGAGATAATGCATAGCAGTCCCAGAAGCTGCAAATAAAATCCCCTGAAAACTAGAATACAAGTCAAAAATTATTGAAAGAATCACTGGGTAAAAAAAAATAGTGAAGTACTTACCAAGAATATCATGTTGTGGTAGCCAGTCAACAACCATGATGTTTTCCGGAACATAAGGGAGAAGGGCTGGGTTAAACCTCACCAAAACCCGCTGTGGCAGTCTGGAGAAGGCACCAATGAAAGCATCGATGACGCGTCCTGGCACAGAGGTAGCCTCATATCCCGTGAAACCCAAAGAGAAGACAACTACACCTGTTTCTGCCTCACTCACCTGTAGATAAACATTCTTTCACTCATTTGAGGGATGACAAGAATGGTTTGCATCTTACAATGTTTTTTTCTTATCTAAGAGGAAACATAAGAACTCTTCAGATCATTAACCACATAAGGTTTATAACCTAGTAAAACTCAAGAAATTTAAGCAGTGCAAATTATTTCCACTGGGGTTCCTAAATCCTCTCCTGTAGGATGTGATCCATAACATTCAACTAAGAGGTTCACTAGATATAAGACAACTTGTGAATCTTCAAGCAGATATAAATCAAGGTTTCCAGTAGGTCTTGGATGACAATATGATGACTGATGTTGGTTTGCCGGTACTTCCGGCCCGGGTCTTCTCCAGATGGCGACCCGGGGGAACAATATCATGTTCAGAGAGGATAAGTTTCAGTTATTCCACCTTGAAGAATGAAGGAAATAAAAACTGAAGCAGGGTACAGTGTAAACCTCAAAACATTCAATAGAGGAAAAGTTTCTTGAGTGAGACTTGGGAATGATAATGGTAGATCACACATTCAAAGATCACAACAATACTGTTATTGCCACCACAAGGTAAATAGAGGATGGCACATTATGTTAATCAAACATCAGACAAAAAATATATTTATACACAAATAGCATACATACTTGGTATTCATATTTAAAACTAATAATTCTGAACACTATACATAAAAGGAATTGCATATATTTTCAACAGCAGCTTGCACAGAGAATAGTTAACTTATTTTAACATTCTTATACTGCTAATGAGGAAATTAGAAAAGCTTAAATTTGCCTGAATGTAATAATCTGGTCATTGCTGAAGGCCTACACTTCACTGAACCTTTCAGTTAATAGTCAATGTCTCCCTACCGCAAGTCAATTCAATAACTAACAAGATATATTCAGTACCTACAGTATTATACAACTGGAAATGGGTTCTTTATTATTATTAAAATTGAGATAAAGTTCTCCCACACATCAGTGAAAACAATAATCACTAAGATAAACATGTTGAGCACCATAAGCAGGAACAAATAACATACTCATGTGAAGCACCATAAGAAGGAACAAATAACATACCCATGTATGAATGTTGTGAGGCAGAGGAGCAGGGGCCCCACACTGGATGCACCCAATATACTGCACATGTGGTGGCATGAGTTTAGGGTAGTCTATTATCCAGTGAGAGTGGACGAGTACTACCTCCAGTTCTCTCAGAAGATGCTGGCTCCCTGGACACTGAGACACAAGATGCTGCCAACAGTGAAATACATGTACACTACATAGTAACTCAGGAATACCCAGTGTTACTTCAATATAACTCACAGTGGTTTCACCCCAATGATTTATAACTATGTGCAAGTAAATTAACACTGCAGGAGCTGCTATTAGGTTGAACTAGATGACAGAAAATCCTGATAATTTCACATTATTAAAGTAACATTACTGTATATAACTGACAGAAAACGTAATATGACACTGTACAGGCAAGCTAGCCTAGTATAACTGAACTGCAGTACTGGATATGAATTATTATAGCTATTATCATTAATATAAGGAGGAAACACTAGACCTGTAAAGATCATACATCACTGGGTAATGGGAAGAAATCAGGTTTGATTTGAGGAACTAGCAGACAGGTTTAATTCCTTGGATCAAGAGCCCCTCAGTGGTCTCAAGGAACCTCTTTTGGAGAACTATATCAAGTGATTTTTAAGATTTACAAAACTTAGTTTAATCTTAATGTAATGCATTCTTCAAAACTCAGTACAATATATTTATTTCTTGATGTATATAATGCATCTTTTATGATAAAAAAAAAAGTAGCTGTATACAGTAAACCCTCCATTTAATGAGGATAAATTAAACAAACTTTGGAAATATGGAACAAAATCCACAAAATCAGTAGCTTTGGTCACATAATTGTTCATTATTGTTACAATCATGACAAAATGGGATCAGGCAACCCTCCCAGTACGACTGGGAGGTATAGGGGTGCGCAAAGCAACGCATGTTGCTTTACCTGCTTTTCTGTCTTCGTGTTTGGCTTCCCGAACGCTTGAGAGACATGGTTGGAGCTCAAGACCCCAGGTTTACTGAAGCAGCGATTCGGTGGGACACCCTTACAGATTCCTCCAGTAGACCAGCTCCTCCCAAAGAACACAAACAGTCCCACTGGGACAAACCGATCATGGAAAAAATCGCCAACACAATGCTCTCCAACGCCTCGGGAAAAAGGACAAAGCTCGTTCCCCTGGCAGTGAAGGCCAACACTCAGGAGATTTCCTGTTTGCTGTTCCCAATTCCTCCTTGGGCACTCGACTAGACCCACAGGCCATTCGGAGTGGTGTTGCTCTTCGCCTAGCCGCCCCCATCCTCACCAAACATAGGCGTATTTGCGGCAGGGCGACAGCTGATCAATTCGGACTTCATGGTCTCGTGTGTCACACAGCAGAAGGGAAGTATGCCAGGCATGAGGAGGTCAATGATATCATAAAGAGAAGCCTCGCCACAGCCCGTTGCCCAGCTCAACGGGAACCCCAAGTGCAGAGGTCTGACGGAAGTCTAAAGCGTCCTGATGGAGCCACTATGCTACCTTGGAAGGATGGAAAGCAGATTGCCTGGGACTACACATGTGCCGCCACATTGGCAGACAGTACCAACAATACCACCAGTCCGATAACATTCTTCTTTGCAAATATACAGGGTCTAAAGCCAGCAACAAACAACAAAATACCTTTCATCCGTAGACTGTTTGCAGAGGCAAAGGCAATGTTCGCGGCTTTCACTGAGACCCACATAAAGGATCACTTGGACAACGAAATATGGATCCCAGGTTACAACCTATACAGATGTGACAGAGTGAACAGGCAAAAGGGGGGGGGGGTTGGCCTGTACATTGCAGAGTCACTTGTTTGCACAGAACTGCTTAATGCCTCAAATTACGTAGTGGAAGTTTTAGCAGTAAAAGGGCGAGAACCAAAACCTAGTCATTGTGGTAGTCTACAGCCCCCGGATGCAACATCCCCGCAATTCCAGGAACAGCTGTTAAAAAAATTTACCCTGTCTGGAAAATCTTCCAGCTCCTGCACCCAACATCTTGCTCCTGGGGGATTTCAACTTAAGGCACCTAAAATGGAGGAATATAGCAAATAATATTGTTGCAGTTAATAACACCAGGAGGCAGCTCTGATGAAAACTCACACTCACACGAGCTTTAAATCTCGGCAAAAAAATTCAATTTAAACCAGCAAAATAATAGAGTCTACTAGACTGGAGAATACACTAGACCTCATCTTCACTAACAATGATGACTGATAAGAAATTGTCACCATATCAAAAACCATATACTCAGATCACAACATAATTGAGGTTCAGATATGTATGCGTGGAGCCCCAGACCGACATAATGAGACTAGTCACGAGGGGGCATTCACCAAATTCAACTTCAATAACAAAAAACATAAAGTGGGACCCCAAATAACAGCTAACGATATAAGCTGGGGAAGTTACTAAGCAACACGACCCCAACTGATGCCTAGAAAAGATAACTCGGTGGGACTCGATGTATGCACAAGGCTTATTCTCAAGAAAAAGGAGGATAGATTTAAAACAGAAAGAGAAGGCGCTCCCTTTTCAGGCGACGGAAAAAAAAATAACGAGCGGCTAAAAGAGGTCAATTTTCTGAAATGGTCAATAACTGGAAGAACCCGCCCCCCCTTCCCCACTAAAAAGGGATCCCCCATAAAAAAGGTCGCCAATCAAAAACTTAACCCAACACCCAAAATTGGGGGGGTTCAAAAGAAGTATTGTGCCCCAACCAAAACATTAAAAACAATCCCCCAAAAGGAAAACTTCCCAAAAAAATAAAATTCAAAACAAAAAAACAAAAATTTACCCTTTGGGGGGGGGCGGGAAACCCGCCCCCCCAACCCCCCACAAAAAAAAAAGGCCCCAAATAAACCCATTCCTAACCTATAAGTGGAAGATATCTTTGGTTCCCCACCCCAAAAGGGGGGGGGGGTTGGCCTTTAAAAATTCTGGTCACTTGTTTTCAAACCCCTTAATTCAAAAAAGAAAAAGGGGAAAAGGGGTTAAAACCCAAAAGAAGGGTTTTTCCCTTTTACGGGCCCGGAAAAAGAATTTAAAAGCGAAAAAAACCCCCTTTCGGGAAAATTTTAGGGAAACATTTTGGCCCCGGGGAAAATTAAGGAAACCAAATGGAAATTAAGCAAAAAAATTTTGGATTTAAAAGGGGGGGAAAGGAAAAAAGTCATAAAATAAATCAAAGAAACCCCAAAAATTATATTTCCCGAATAAAATCCAAACGGAGAAAACTCAGATATCCCTTTCTTAAACAAGAAGGCCCTAAAAAAATGCACCCAATAAAAATACTCGAAAAAACCAATATGATCAGTTTTTTTACCCCCAACCGTTAAAATAAAATTTGGGGAAGATTCAAAATTTTTTTTTAATAAACCAAAAAAATTTGGGGGAAAAAAAAGGGCCAAACCCGGATTTTTAACTAAAAGGGATAACAAGGCAAAAAGACCCCAACTTCCCCGGGGGAAAAAAACTCTGGAACCCCTGTTTCAAAAGGGAACTCAAAAAAAGGGGAATAGATTTTAAAACCGGGAAGGAGAGGAAAGGGGCTCCCACGGGGACAAAAAGAACCCCCACCCAAAAGGGAAATAACAAAGCGGGGAACATTTCAGAAAATAGCAAACACCCCAATTTTAAAAATAAAAATTTTTTAAAAAGGGGAAATCCGGGGGGAAAAAATAAAACCCATTTAAAAAATCGAAAAAACCCCAAAAAGGGGTTTTCCCCTCCTTTCTTTCAAAATTTGACAACAAAGCCCAAAATTTTCCCCTAAAACAAAAAATAGAAAAAATTTATTTCCCAATTTTCCCAAAGCCTTTTTTTACAAGGTACCAGGGCTAAAGAAAAACAAAAAGGGTTTTTAAAGGAAAACCAAAAATTTAGTTTTAACCTACTACCAAAACAGAGAAGTGTTTCAACAGGGAAAAAGGGAAAGGCCCAGCCCCTTGAAAAGGCCCTGTTTCCACAAGCCCCAAAACCCCTTTCCCACCTTTTCCCCTTTTCCCAATGGGACAACCCAAAGGGGGGGGTCGCCCACAGGTTTTTCCCTTTGAATACCCCCAACCCCTCAAAGGGGGCGGGTTTTAAAGCAACACTGCAAGGGGCCAACCCAAACACCCAAAAAAAATTTTTAAAAGGGGCCTGAGAAAACCCCAAATAAAAAATTTAAAACCCCCAGGGAAATTTTCAAAATTCCCCCGTTTTTAAAACTAAAAAAAACCCTCAAAAGGGGTCCAAACAAAAATTTCCAAAAAAAAGAGGAAAACCCCTTTTTTCAAAACCTTTGAAAGGGGACCATGGGGGAATCCACCTTAAAACGGAATAACAGGAAAATGGGTCGGGGCTAAAAAATGAAAAAGGAAATGGTAAAGAAAATCCAAACTAGGGAAAAGCCCTGTTAAAACCTTCGGTCCCTCTTTTTCCCTCACCTAATAACTGCACACTAACAGCACCTTTTCCCGCAGTGAAACCCAAATTTAAAAAAATGAAAAATTTCCCGGCAGCATAAGGGGGTAAACATCCCAAAAATTTTCCCGGGGTTTGGGGCCAAATTGAATTCCCCAACCCGAGGAAAAAGTTTTACTGTTTTTTAAAAACCCCTGAAAATTTAAAACGGGTCCCAAAACTTTGGCCAAATGAAAACCACCAACTTTGAAAAAGACTTGGGAGGCACCATCCCCCCAAAAAACAGGGATCATGCATTTTTTAAAAAAAGCCCATAAATGGGGGTTAAAAAGGGCCCCGAGAAAACACTTTTTTAAAATTTTGGTCCCGCCACTAGGGGGAAATACCCAACAAAAAATTTTTAAAGGCTAAATTCCGAAAAGAAAAGTCAGGGAAAATTTTTCCCCCCCGTTGGGTTCCAAAATTTTTGGGAGCGGGGGCAAAACCGGGTTTTCCCGGGACCCACCAGGGAGGTTTTGGTTAAACCCTGGCCGGGGGCCTTGCCCCGAACTTTCCCAAAAAAAACCTCCAGGGAAAAAACCCTTAACGCCAAACCCCCAAATAAAAGGGGGGGTTGGGTCCCACCCACGGGGGAAAACCTCCAAAGCTGAAATTGGCCGGCCCCCGGGCTATAATTTTCCCCCACCCAATGGGGGGTTCCAAACCCCCCTTTGGGGCCAAGGGGGAAATGGCCCCTAAAGTTTTCT